ATAAATTGCATTATGAAGTAAATTCCAGATGCGTTTGGTCATCTAACAATTAGATTATTTTATCTCCTAAGAAATATATGCAGCAGCATTTTTCTCATAACAGGTCAGACTAATAAAAAAACTGCAGTTGACAAATATGATATGCATGATGATGATAGGAACATGAAAAATATGAGAGTGAGGGAATTTCTGTGTTTGTAAGCACATGTGCACTCTAAATCTCCCACTTTAATAAATAATACAACTGACATTGAAGCCATATTTGTTTTGCAAAAGAGAGCCGTACGGGCAATTTATAACTTAATTTGTAATGAGTGCCTTAGAGAAAAATTTAAAAAAATAAACATATTAACTTTGGCATCGCTATATATTTATGAATGTATGTACATAAACAGCTTTGATAAGAATAAAAATGTTCATACTTTAAGCACTAGGAACAAACATAAGCTTGTAATACCAGTTACTAGACTCCACAGAATTAGTAATTCATTTATGGGGCAATGTATTCGCTTTTACAGTAAAATTTCAGAAAATATACAAAATTTGTCCATAAACGAGTTTAAACTGATCAAAAAGATAAATGAAAATAACCCCTGGGAATAAGCTAATTTCCACTATGTTGGTTCTATTATTACAGAGGTATTTTCTGAGTCAGTGATAAATAAAAAAATGACTTTCAAAGGTATTGTGTAGTAAACTATATTGAGTAAAAATTATGTGGTTGTGACTTTATGTGTTTTTTTTTTATAGAATGTGGTGACAAACGAGCATACAGTCCACCTGATGGTAAGTGGATGCTGTGGCCCATAGACACCTACATTTTCCTTGATTAAGAATCAAAATGTAAATGCGTTGTCACCCCTAAGGACTAAGACGGAATGTATCATTTCCAGTAAGGGTCTACGATTCTCTACATTCACCGAATGCAATACAGCAGCATTAAGCTGTTATTTTACGCTGGTATTCTGTGAGAGCATTGTCCTATCCCAGTAGAACTGACCCATTTGTGCTACAACCATAACCATAATATAGTTGCAGTGTGGCTCTACCACATAACCATAATATAGTTGCAGTGTGGCTCTATCACATAACCATAATATAGTTGCAGTGATGCTCTACCACATAACCATAATATAGCTGCAGTGTGGCTCTACCACATAACCATAATATAGTTGTAGTGTGGCTCTACCACATAACCATAATATAGTTGCAGTGTGGCTCTACCACATAACCATAATATAGTTGCAGTGTGACTCTACCACATAACTATAATATAGTTGCAGTGTGGTTCTACCACATAAAAGACCAAACCAGGGTGGATGTTAATATCTTGACAGAAAATTGCAATAAAACTCAGTAATATGTACTAGAACATACACCGGGAGAAAATCTATGTAGCAGTGCGGTTCGCGGGGAAGGAGGCACAAGGTACCTTTTTATGGCATAGACTCAGTAACTTTTATCTCGCGGCCTCTAACTAGTGTTGCAAACAATTAAGTATCGGTGCCTCTTCTAGCACGTAGTAGGATTTCAGGCTAATTGGTGTTTTTCAGGATCTGGTTACATCTGTCTTAGCCTAGCCACGATCTATCGCATTTTTCTCCAGCGGTAGCAACAAATTACCGCAACGTCAATTTGCAATAATAGGAAATGTTAAGAAACTTACAAAACTGTTCGTCAATGTTTTGTACAAAATTTGAAGACTAGTCTTCTTTAGTACAAACATGCGTACATTAACGCATAAGCAAATTCTACAAACTTCACTAAAGGCCATTCCTGTTTCCATTAGCTTTAATATAATTAAATTTACTTTTTCAGCAATAAACCCGATTCCAAAAATATTACAATACAGTACACAGCACAGAGTACATTATAACACAGGCCAGTGTTGCCAAACTTTTACGAAGTAAAATCTGTACTGGGTTCTTAAAAATCCGTATAAATTCCGTATGTCTTTATTATTAGTAAGAATATTGTATAAAAATAACGACAATTAAAATAATCTAAAATAATCGCGAACCGCCCGTATATTGATTGACAATGAACATGTCAATGAACATGTGATAAGAATTTACTATTACTGACTATTTAAAATCATACATTTCTTGTGCTATTTTGTTTTTATAATTGATGAGTTTACTTCGAAATCAAAACAGGCTGTGCCGCCTAACAAATATTTAGTATATAGCAGTCCCTCTATTGTCTCAGTAGACAATTGATTTCGTTGTATTGTTTTTATGATATTGATAGCTGAGAATGTGATATGAAATCCGTATGTGAATGTTATCCGTATGCGAGGTTGAAAATCCGTATAAATCCGTATAGTTGGCAACACTGACACAGGCAGTGACAGGATATCTATGGACAGGTTGACACTATAACCTTTGAGCATAGAAAATGAAGGAGCTGCCCAGAGCGTCTAGATATGTTTTATTAGTTATACAAATATGGTTATATTCGACATTGAGCTGTCAATATGCTGCCTCTTTTTCACTCAGCGATGTGTAAGTCTAAGTGTCATTCATAAATGAAACAGATAATAGAAATTGTTTCGTATTCTGGTAAACATTTTTAAGATGACGTCATTAAACCCGCCTTGCGGCCGATTCCGCCATTTATTGTTTCAGATTTGCTGTTATAAAAAATCGTTTGATATTTCTTAATTTGAATATTTTGCGAATTTTTAAACAGTTTATAGTGAATTTTCCAATTCATTATAAAGTACGAAGATGACTATGTGTTGTGTAAGAGACTGTGCCTCAAAATATAGTCAAAAATCACGCGAACTATAATTTCATATGTGAGTGATTTAGTTTTTGCTGTAAATATAATGTAAAAACGTTTATATCTTTTGTGACAGTAAGTAGATGGATGTAATTATTTACCCTAAACCTTTAATTCATATTATTTAATTACTTCTTATTATTCTTTGCGTATCTATAAAATTTTGTTGTTCGTAAATAGTGATGTTACATTGCTAACAATAAATTCTTTCAAGAACATACTTTATTAAGGTATCCCTTGATTTATTCTGTCGTATTATGTGAAAAAATTTTGCGTTATGCATTGCATTATTTCGGTGTCATGGGTCTGAGCAGTGAGCATAAATGATAAACTAAATTATACGGAAGCGGAGTTACATTCATGTTAGGTAGGACCTACATAATAAAAGTGAAGCAAAGCAACAAAGATTACATAAAGTACAATCTAGCGCCTGTAAGTAATCTCTCTCTCTGTAGGCAAACATGCAAATACCTCAGAGGCTATTGACATTATTATTGACTTTATTATATATTGTATATATTAGCCCATACGTGCCTTCTAATAATGCAATATACATAAATGTTAAGCATATTTTTATGTATAATTTACCTTAAGTCACCTTTTATAACAACCATGGTTTTGTTTAATTTGTAATATTATTTGCAGCTTCATAGATCTAAATCATTATTTTCTGTTCTATCACATTTTTAGTTTGCCAAAGAAGAAAGTAGTTTAATAACGTAATATTTATATATATATATAACAAGATAAGTATATATATATTTATTTTCCTGCTCCATCCATCCATCCATTACATTCTAAAAGTTCATTGCTGTACCTAGGTCTCTACTATAGATTGCCTCATAGGGCATTTTGCCACACCTACCCCGCTTGGCAGGCGGTTTAGCATCCGCAGATTTTTATTATTTTGTGTCTACTTCACTTGGTCTTTCTTGGCTTTGTTGCCAAATTCCAGAAATCACCAATGCTAAGCCAGAGTGGATATAAAATAAAAAAATATTTCATGGCAAATAATTTATTTGATATGATAATTTGTAACCACAAGTGCATCGTAAAGTATAATAATATTCAAATCACAGCGATTCTAAAGTAGTTTTTACTTCAAAAGGTATTAGCTTAACCAGCCACACGAAACTGGTGCACAAGCCAGAATAGTAAAAAAATATTGTACTATAAGCTCAAAAAGAGAACTCCATCCTGTTTAACCATCCTGGCTTAAGATAGTAACTTATTAGCCCAGAAGTAAAGCTTATTCTGTATAATATGAAGTCAGAACAACTAGCTTGCTAACTTACAACTTACAAGCACGAGTTGCTATCCGTGCATTAAGTATCAAAATCGTCTTCAAACTATTATTTAAACGATAAAATTGGAGCAGCAATCATCTGACGGTTAAATTCACGCGAAATTCCCCTAGCCTCCCTAATCGTTAAAGAAAATATAATTTTGCATATTTAAAAATAAATAAAAATACATATAGGTGTTACTAAATTTTAAAAGTTGATTGACTTCACATCACTAAAAAAATGGGCGGAGCTTACAGCGTCCGCCATTTATTGTTTCAATTTAACACGATTTTTTGTAGGCTTGCCATCTCCTCTATTTTCTATGCTCAAAGCACTATAACAATGTAGTCTTTGATTGACAGATTTGACACTGTCAAGTTGACAGGATCAAATCAGCTAATAGCAATTATAAAGCCTGCTTTTCACTATGGGATACAATATAATATATATTACATCTCAAACTATAAATATTTTTTCGATCGACCGAGCGATATTTTCTAAAGCTGTAGCAAACCGTATGTATTCGGTACTGAGTAACGGGTGCGCCATCTAATACCGAGTAACGAAACGTTACACATGAATGTCTTTCGTTACTCGCATTTTTCGTAGTATGGGTACCTACACTGTTTCAGTTCACGCAAGTACCGATGATACACAAATTCACATAATAATTTAAAATTAAAAATTTTGTACAGCCGACTTCAATATAAGTTATTTAAGAATAACTTAAAAACTATTGGTCTGACCTTGATCAAATTCATATGGGACCACACGAGAAGTACCAGCTTTCAAATAAAAAAAGAATCATCGAAATCGGTTCACCCAGAAAAAAGTTCTGAGGTAACACACATAAAAAAAAACGAAAAAAAAAAACACAGTCGAATTGAGTACCGGCTGCTTTTTGGAAGTCGGCAGAAAAAATGGATTTTTGTCTGGTACACACATATTTATATAAAACAAGTTTACACAATATTGTACATATTTCACCGGATAGCTCACGAAAAAGGTTTTGCGCCAGTGTGTGTTTTTAAATGTCTTTGCAAATCATATTTTCTAATACATCTATATTCACAGATATTACACGAAAAAGGTTTTTCTCCAGTATGTATTTTCATATGTGTTTGCAAACAATTTTTTCTAATACATTTATATTCACAGATATTACAAGAATAAGGTTTTTCTCCAGTATGTATTTTCATATGGGTTTGCAAATCACTTTTTGTAATACATCTATATTCACAGATATTACACGAAAACGGTTTTTCTCGAGTATGTATTTTCATATGGGTTTGCAAATGACTTTTTGTAATACATCTATATTCACAGATATTACACGAAAAAGTTTTCTCTCCAGTATGTATTTTCATATGTTTTTGCAAACTACTTTTTCTAATACATTTATATTCACAGATATTACACGAAAAAGGTTTTTCACCGGTGTGTATTTTCATATGTTCTTGCAAACGATTTTTTCTAATACATCTATATTCACAGATATTACACGAAAAAGTTTTTTCACCGGTGTGTATTTTCATATGCCTTTGCAAATCACTTTTCATACTACATCTATATTCACAGATATTACACGAAAAAGGTTTTTCACCGGTGTGTATTTTCATATGTCTTTGCAAATTAGCTTTTGTAATACAGCTATATTCACAGATATTACACGAAAAAGGTCTTTCACCGGTGTGTATTTTCATATGTGTTTTCAAAAGACTTTTTCTAATACATCTATATTCACAGATATTACACGTAAAAGGTCTTTCACCGGTGTGTATTTGCATATGTATTTGCAAATCACTTTTCATACTACAGCTATATTCACAGCTATTACACGAAAAAGGTTTTTCACCGGTGTGTATTTTCATATGTCTTTGCAAAAGACTTTTTCTAATACATCTATATTCACAGATATTACACGAAAAAGGTTTTTCACCGGTGTGTATTTTCAAATGGGTTTGCAAATTACTTTTTCTAATACATTTATATTCACAATTATTACAACAGTACATTTGTTTAGCGACGTGCGCTTTAAGATGTGACAAAATGCGACGTTTTTGAGATGTTTTAAATTCACAAATATCACAATTAAATATTTCTGTTTGTTGTGGTATTGGAGTTAGTTCTACTTGTGTCCGCACTGCAGTGGTGTCTGAGTTGTTTTGCATCTTATGACTGTATGAAATGTGTTTGGCGAGAATGTTTTTTGTTGAAAATTTTTTACTACAACCATCACATTTAAAAATGTGTTCAGTTGATGTCCCAGATATTTTTTTCTTAAGTATATTTACACTCTTTTGTTTCAAAATTTTCGTTTTCATAATCTTTGCAGGATGCTTTCCTTTTTTATTAATTGGTTGATTATTTTTTTTCAATTTAGGGTTTGATTTAATAGTAGGGCCTACAAAATAGAGGTCTTCTTCACGAACATCGTTTATGTTACAATCAGTAGAATTTGATTTAATCTTCTTCTCAGAACTTTCTGAAAAATGATTTGTCGAAGTTAAACTTTTTATTTATTGTAAGTTATTGCATCTTTATTGCAAGACACCTTAAACGGTTTACAATGGGCGAAGTTTATGCCTTATGGCATTTTCTATCAGTTAACCCCGGGAGAAATAAAGAAATTATAGTATTTTACACAATAATACTAAATATTGTTGCCAAATATAAAGTATTTTAGTCAATTACTCCGAATAATGTCTCTCAATTCATTTTTGGAGGGAAAGAATGATTTTTCTGACCATGTTACATTTATATTAATCTAATAATCGCTGTTTCGAATTCCACACAGAACTAGTGTTATACACACACGGTCGAAGATGGCGTGTAAGTGCGGTATAAGAGAATTCATCATCACATTTTGTCCCGTGGGTTTCGTAAGAGGCGACTATGGGTTTGCTAGAAAAATCTGATGGCTTCCGACAGATGGCGGCATAACCACCTCGTTTACTTCAGATGTAAAATAGCCAGACCGGCGCCAGGCGACATTGACAGAGGTGCTCACGTCTGGTTCTGCGATCGTCAGTCCTATGCCAAGCGTGACTCTCAAGGCAAATCCTTCCTGCGTAGGGAGATATCCTTCCATGTTCAGCAGTGGAAGTTTACGGGAATATTAAGAGGTCCTTTCTCCACTGGCACCCATAAAATAGTTAATTTTGTAAGTAGGTGTGTATGTATGTATACATACATACATACACGCCGTTTCCGTCCTATCGATCCTAACAGCTTCGACGGAAACCGTATTGAAGGCCACTAATCAGCTTATGCTCTTCAAGGTACCGCGTGACTCGTGAGCTGACAGTTAATAATGGATTCCATTATTTTGGAGAACTAGAAGGTGATGGTTATAGGCCTGTATTTGGATAGGTCCCAGGCTTTTTTAGGAATCGCATGCACTAAGGCTGCCTTTCATAAGGTTGGAACGACACCTAAGGAGTAAGAGAATATGACATAAACATAAAAATAACATGAACATAACACAACAACTGCATTATAACTTTGTAATCTATACTAATATAAAAAAGTGGAAGGGTTTTTTGTGTTTTGTTTGTTTAAACACGCCAATCTCTGGAACTCAGTCCGATTTGAAAAAATGATTTTCTATATTATAGCCAGATTCATGAGGAGGAGGAATAGTATAGGTGTTTGTCAAAGTTTGTTACGGCCTACGGCTGCTCCCTTAAAGGTCATATCCTCAGGGGCCCATTCAGCTGAGTTTCGACGAGCAGACATAGGTCGGGCCTCCTCCAGGCCAAAGTGGAAAGTCTCTAATTACACTAAACTATATGGGGGAGCGTTCTACACTACGGCCAGTCGACCGGGAGGGTATTAGACGGAGCTTACTTACCTATATCCAAGGCGACTGGTCCCTCCGGAGTCGGTCAGGTCGCATGTGGTTGTGTAGTGCAAGGGAAATAAGGTGATGTGATGTGTATCTGGGTGTGACTGATGGTGATTGACCCTAGACCTTGGCCGTCGGCAGCAGCCCGGGCGTCGACACCGCTCCAAATTGAGAGAACCTTCCGCGGCGTGGTCCACAGTCACTTTCCTCGTTCGTCACGATGACAGTTCATTAACTCTATCGTACGATTAATTAACTTACAGAAGCCACTAACTCTCGTTTGTTATAAAGCCTAACACACAAAACTCACACGGAGTTTCCGGATCAAAGGTCACTACCGTTTCGCGTAGCAACAGTTATTTCTAGAATATCAAAGGCCGCACTAGCTAATATTGCCGAATGCACTTATGCAGATTCTGAGTCAGACACAATGAGTCCCTGGGAAGCTCTCCAGCAGGAATGCGCGTCACAAATCTTAGACCGTATATTTACTGTCCGCGCCTAATTATTCCGAGTTCCCGACAAAAATGACAGCGTGCTGTTCCAAGCACAGCTGACAGACGACTCTGCCCTTGCACGTCCTACGCGCGACCGAATGTCAGACCGGTATTGCACCGAGCCGTGCGCCTCTGACGTCGATTCCGAAACCACCGTTCGAGCGTAAACAATAGGAATAGTATAGCATTAGGCTACTTCTCTCAGTTACATATTGATTTTTGCTAACCCGTCAAGCGCTAGGACATTTTATTTTTTACGCGTCAAACGTCAGGGCCTGTACGGAAGGTCTCCAGCTACTGGCAGGCACTAATGTAAAAAACTTAACAATCGAAGCTAGACGCAAAGCAACAATGAAAAGACTTGCATGAAAGTTAAAAAAACCGCTATTCTACATTTATTCCTCTACTACTTGTTCCCCGCGACTTCGTTCGCGTGTGAGGGTTTTTATGTTTTTGCGCGGCACCTTAATTCTTTTTTTAAAATAAAAGTAACTCCTTAAGAAATCAGCTATTTGTCAGTGAAAGTCCCGTCAAAATCGGTCCAGCCGTTTCGGAAATTAGCCGGAACAAACAGACAGACAGACAAGAATTGTTAAAAGTTATTTTAGTTATAAGTATCGTATTTACTTTCATATGCATTTAGTAAAAAAACTGTAATTTTGAGAATACAAACAGATACTACAAACAACAGATCCAAAAGTAATGATAATAGGTTATTTCCAGTGCACATAAAAATCCGAAAAAGTTTTTTCTTGTTTATGTACCCACTAGATCAGAATTAAAAAATCACATAAACAGGCTACGATTCCCGAGAGGTACATTCATTTGAATACGAATCATCAAAGAGATAACATCAAAATGGAGAAAAATTAAATGAGAGCTGCGACTTGGTGAAATAATGAGGGACTCTGCTCCTTTCACAATTGCACGCTGGGCCAAGGAGGTTAAGCTGGGCTGAACATCCACGGAAGATGAATGCCCATCCACATCCCTCACTGAAGATAAAGTGAAAGGAGTTGAAGATATCGTATTGGCAGATCCAAGTGTGACCATCAGGCATATAGCTGAGGTCACAGGTATCTCATATGGCAGTGCTCAAAGAACCCTTGCGAACGAATTGCATATGAAAAGGATCTCTGCGCGTTGGGTACCGAGAATGTTAACCGACGAGTTAAAGAAAAAATTTGTCGACATTTCGAGGGTGAATCTCGAAAGGTTCCAAGCAGATCAGATTTTTTATAAGGTTTCGTGACCGTGGGCGAGACCTGGATCTACCATTTCGATCCTGAAACCAAACAACAACGGTATGATACCGAGTCTCCTCCCGACGCCAAAGAAATTCAAAGTGTCAAGTTCGCCGGGAAAGGTTATGGCGTCCGTTTTTGGGGACGCAGAAGGAATAATTATAAGTTCATTATTTTACATTGACAATCATGCCAAGCGCAAAACGCGTAGGTATGTTCTACTAGCGCCTAAAAATCAAGATTACAATGTTTTGTCGCATAAAATCGCATCTAACAATTATATTGAACATATAAATGATATAAAAACCACATTGTCAGAAATATAAATGATTGTTGAACTTACAAATTTTTTTAAAATCGATTAATTGCTATTTTTACATAAAAAAGTGGTTTTAGTGGCTTATGGTGTAGATTTATCAAGTCCGCATTTTTTATAGGATAGGGTAACAAACGAGCACACAGTCAGCCTGATGGTAAATGGTTGCTGTGACCCATAGACATCTACATTTATCCTCAATGAAGAATCAAAATGCAGATGCGTCGTCACCCGTGAGGACTAAGATGGAATGCCTTTTTTCCAGTAAAATGGGTCTCCGGTTCTCTACACTCACCATCCGAAAAACAGCAGCGTCAAGCTGCCATTTTACGCTGGTATTCTGTGAGCGCGTGGTCCTGCCCCTGTCAAGCCGACCCATGCGTGCTACAATTATACTACTAAATACTAATATAGCTGCAACATGGCTCTATGGTTTTGAAAATATTATTGTTTAACTCAATCTATTTTTTAATCTGTTAGCAGTATAATTTTATTTTGTTTAGTTATATTTTTTTTTTATTGAGTAATTTTTAATAATACCTGCAAAATGCCAGACGAATTGAGCGGTTTTAAACAATTCCCAGACGTGAATAAAGTTTACAAATGAATACGACAAAAAGTCTTCTTATACGTAGCCATAAGTGTGAGAAAGATAGCTTATCGAAGCATGCCGACAGCGGAGGGGGGGCTAAGCTCCTCGCGCTGTGATTGGTTATTAAGAAAATTTTTTTGAACATTTTACGATTAAATTCTTGTTTTAGGATTTAGCATGTATGTATGCGCATATATGACCATGTAAATATCTGTGTATACAGTTTGAATGATTTAAGATCAGTGCTGTAATAATTTGTAAGATAGCTATTAATTTTAACCCGTATTAATGGTGCCGTGTAGTGGCGGTTAAGAATATCCACTACCCCATATCTTCCCGTGGGTGTTGTAAAAGGCGACAAAGGGAAACAGGCAGGAGATGGGCAGCAGCATCTTCCTGGTAACGGCAAAAATACAATAAAAAACTACGGTTGCCAACCCGCTCGCCAAGCGTGGCAACTATGGCAATATAACCCCCATGATGAAAGTTACGAAGAGACGGCCCCCAGTCCCCGGCGGCCCCGTTATTCCTGGCTACGGTGGCGACCATGGTAACGGCGGGGCAGGGGGTGCTAAGAATCTCCGGTGGAGGTTCGGTTGCCACCTACGACGACTCGACCTGGCAACATACAACGCACGCAGCCTGAGGACTGACGAGAAGATTGTGGAGCTGGAAGAAGAGATAAACAAGTTACGCTGGCATATTATAGGATTATCCGAAGTCCGAAGAGAGGGGGAGGACACGGTAATCCTCGAATCCGGCAACTTGCTCTATTACCGGGAGGGCGACCATCTGTCCCAAGGAGGTGTCGGATTCATCGTCCACAAGTCTCTCGTTAACAACGTTGTAAAGATTGAGAGTGTGTCGACGAGGGTTGCGTACCTTATACTCAGAATCACCAAACGGTATTCGCTGAAGGTCATACAGGTTTACGCACCAACCTCGGCACACCCCGATCAAGAGGTGGAGGAAATGTATGAGGATATCTCTAGAGCCATGCATTCCTCCAAAACCCAATATACGGTGTTAATGGGAGACTTCAATGCAAAACTAGGCACAAGAGAGAACGGTGATCTGAAAGTGGGGAATTTGTATAATTTATATAATAAATTTGAATAGGGCAAGAGGGACTCTTTATGATGAACTCTTTCTTCCAGAAGCGGCCCCACAGGAAGTGGACCTGGTCGAGCCCCGACGGTTCGACAAAAAATGAGATTAGACTTCATTATGACGACCAGACGACAACTGTTCAGTGATGTCTCAATGATCGCGAGGGTGAAAACCGGCAGCGATTACCGAATGGTTAGAGGCACACTGAACCTAAACGTTAAGTTGGAGAGGTCTCGTCTAATGAAGTCAACGCTCCGTCCCCCTCGTGCTCTAATCCAAAGTCCCGAAACCTTTCAGCTCGAGTTACAAAACCGTTTTCAGTGCCTAGAAGACTGCAATGAAGTGGACGATTTGAATGACAAGCTCGTGGAAACTGTCCATGCGGTCGGAGCTAAGTTCTGCAAGACCCGTCGCAGAAGAACACAAAAACTCTCCGATCACACTCTTAATCTCATGGCTGTTAGACGGGAGATGAAGCTACATTCTTCAACAGATTTGACAGCATACAGGCAACTGAACAGACAGATCTCCAAATGCATGCGGCGGGACTTACGCAACTTCAATACAGCTCGTATTGAAGAAGCGATCGAGCGGAACCAAGGCTCCAAAGTCTTTGCCAGAGATCTGTCTGTCAGAAAGAGCCAACTGTCAAAGCTGAAGACAGAATGTGGCAGCATCGTTTCCGGGACACCTGAGATTTTGAGTGAGATTGAGAGGTTCTATGGGCAGCTGTACACGTCATCGTTGGAGCCACACGCAAGTGTGAGTAACGATCCATGAGCGAGTCTCATCCGACACTATTCCGAAGATATCCCGGACGTCAGTCTGAGCGAGATTAGAATGGCTCTCCAGCACCTTAAAAACGGCAAGGCCCCAGGCGAGGATGGAATTACAGCAGAGCTTCTGAAAGCGGGTGGAAAACCGGTACTTGAAGTCCTTCAGAAGTTCTTCAATTCTGTCCTGAAGAATACTTTGAAAGCATGTTTATGAGTGATGAGACATTCGAATTAAATGAAATAGAAATTTCGAAAGAACAGGAAATAGATAGAGACATAAGTATAGATGAAATAAAGAAAGTAATGAAAGGTATGAAAGCAGGTAAGGCAGCCGGATATGACAGAGTATCTCTTGAAATGCTAAGGGCTGGAGAAGGAGTGGTGGCAGACCTGCTGTGCACCTTGTTTAATTTATGTTGGGAACTTAAGCGCGTACCGGGAGACTGGTGCAAAGCTGTAATAGTCCCAATATATAATTACATAATTATATAATATAATCATAATTACTAATTGAAAGAGGATTGTATGTCCTCTGCGTAAAGCTAACCCACAGACTGCACGTATAAAATGACTGATAGTAGGCTTTGAAAAGCGTAATCTTTACTTCGTCAGTACATTTAGCAAATCTGCGGGCCAACATATTTCAGTGGACAGACAATGACCTCCGCTCCCTCTCAATATCCAGGTTGTCTTTTAGGTCTTCTGTGATCCAGTGACCCAGGTACTTAAAGGTCTCAACTTTTTTCAAGGGCGTTCCAAAGAGCTTGAAAAGTCGCTTGTGGTCCGGATTGAAAATCATGAATTCACTCTTGACAGCATTGTATTTGAGCCCCTGGGCCACAGCGTAAGACTCGGTGGTTAACAATTTCTTTAAGGCTGCACTTGATGGACTCAGCAGCATCATATCATCTGCATAACTTATGTTATTAACACAAACTCCGTCTATGTGGCAACCGATACCGGTACTGCTGAGCTCATCAAGGAGCCTATTCATATATAAGTTAAAGAGCGTAGGAGAGCTTAGACCACCCTGCCTCACGCCACATTCCAATCTGTATTCTTCTGAGAGCGAGCCTGCCCATCTGACATTGTTCTTTTGGTTGCTATACCAGTGCTGAAAGAGCAATATAACTTCTTCGGGCAGGCTAGTCTCAGATCTCATCTTGTCCCACAGGCTTTGGTAAACTACTAGGTCAAACGCCTTTGATAAATCCAGGTAACATACAAACACAGGTGTCTTCCTTGCTGTGTAATACTGGACAGTCTGCTTGAGACACAGGATAGCACTCTCAGTGGAGTTTAGTTTCCACAAGCTTGTCATCCATATCGTCCACTTCATTGCAGTCTTCTAGGCACTGAAAACGGTTTTGTAACTCGAGCTGAAAGGTTTCGGGACTCTGGAACAGAGCACAAGGGGGACGGAGTGTTGACTTCATTAGACGAGACCTCTCCAACTTAACGTTTAGGTTCAGTGTGCCTCTGTCCATTGGGTGATCGCTACCAGTTTTCACCCTCGCGATCACGGAGACATCACTGAATAGTTGTCGTCTGGTCGTCATAATGAAGTCAATCTCATTTTTTGTCGAACCGTCGGGGCTCGACCAGGTCCACTTCCTGTGGGGCCGCTTCTGGAAGAAAGAGTTCATCATAAAGAGTCCCTCTTTCTCTATGAAGTCGGCCAGCTGCTGGTCCCTTGGGTTCCGTTGCCCTATTCCAAATTTCCCTACTTTCAGCTCACCGTTCTCTCTTGTGCCTAGTTTTGCATTGAAGTCTCCCATTAACACCGTATAATGGGTTTTGGAGGAATGCATGACTCTAGAGATATCCTTATACATTTCCTCCACCTCCTCATCGGGGTGTGCCGAGGTTGGTGCGTAAACCTGTATGACCTTCAGCAAATACCGTTTGGTGATTCTGAGTATAAGGTACGCAATCCTCGTCGACGACACACTCTCAATCTTTACAACGTTGTTAACGAGAGACTTGTGGACGATAAATCCGACACCTCCTTAGGACAGATGGTCGCCCTCTCGGTGATAGAGCAAGTTGCCGGATTCGAGGATTACCGTGTCCTCCTCCTCTCTTCGGTCTTCGGATAATCCTATAATATGCCAGCGTAACTTGTCTATCTCTTCTTCCAGCTCCACAATCTTCTCGTCAGTCCTCAGGGTGCATGCGTTGTATGTTGCCAGGTTGAGTCGTCTTAAGTGGCAACCGAACCTCCACCGGAGATTCTTAGCACCTTCTGCCCCACCGTAACCATGGTCGCCACCGTAGCCAGGAATAGCAGGACTGCCGGGGACTGGGGGCCGTCTCTTTGTTACACTCTTCATAGCGGGGTATTTGCCATAGTTGCCACGCTTGGCGAGCGGGTTGGCAACCGCAGTTTATTTTTTTATTGTAATTTCGGCTACTATCAGGAAGATGCTGCTGCCCATCTCCTGCCTGTTTCCCTTTGTCGCCTTTTATGACACCCATGGGAAGATATGGGGTAGTGGATATTCGTAACCGCCACTACACGGCAAGCCCCAATATGTCACTATAGTATTATTTTGTGTCCATGGGCTAGAGTAACCACTTGCCATTATGTAACTTTTAGCTTATTTTAATAATATCACAAAATGTGCATATCTTACCTGTTTCATGATTCCCATTTTGTTCAAAATTGTAATTCTCATTTTCGAAATTCTCTTCCTCAACTTTAACAGATTCAAGGCTAAACATTTCGTTCTTACAATCATTTTCTATATCACACTCTACTGGCATGATATCTATATGACTAATTGGTGTGAATTGAATCTTATCTCTAGCCTCATGCGGTTTTGGTATTGACTGAAACCAAATTCTTTTGTTAAATAAGAGAAAACGCCAGTGTAGTGGTGCTGTAGGAGAATCCATACTATCATACTATCCCGCAGATGTCGTAAAAAGGGACAGAGGGAAACTGAAACAGGAGATGGGCAGCAGCATCTTCCTGACAACAACTCCAAATATTAATAAAATCCATACAAAAGGAGGGTTCCGAATAAAATTACATAAGAATGAAGATAATTCATCCATCCTGAGCATCGAGTCTCAACAGTTTTTCGAAACAGATTCACAAATGCTGTAAATTGACAACGATGTTTGTTGATTTTTGTTTACTGAGTAATATTACATATAGCTAATATTTCGTTTATATACAATAGAGTATAAAGAGCCGTGATAGCTCAGATGGTTAGCGCTTGATGTAAGCTTCATAGTACGCAAGCAACCCAGGTTCGATCCCCGTAAGATGCAACATAGGGAAACAGAAATATGAGTTGAGTAACAGCATCTTCCTGATAACGACTCAGACCAATATAAACTGCGGTTGCCAACCTGCCCAACGTGGCAAAACCCCTCCTATATGAAGAAATCTATGAGGGACTTTAATAAGTTTTAATGGATGGAACGGATAATACCATGGACCCTCCTGCAAGCAACTGCTCCAGAACTGCTTTTGACTCAATAGCCTGGTGTTGTAATGTTCTGCAACGAATGAGTCTTGCATGACAGGTGAAACAAACAATTATGGGCTCCTCATCCTCATCTATCTGAAAATATGAAAGCTCATCATAAATATGGAAAACTACTTAAATATACAAGTTTGTAATAAAATCAGTTGGCTACCACAATTCTCTTCATCCTAATCTTACTAGTAGAGTACCACCTGATGGTAAGTGAGCCCATACACATCTATAATTAATAACCAATTAAGAATCAAAATGCAGATATGCTGTCACCTATGAGAACCACTATGGAACACCTCGTCTAAGTACAAAGTATGTCTGGTTCTCTACACTCACCATACACATCAGAGCAGAATTAAGCTGCTATTTTACAATGGTATTCTGTTTAGTCCATGGTACCACCCCAGTACAGCCGACCCACCTGTGACACATAGATATATAGCAGCAGCATGACAATAATAATTTCCTATGGACAGAATTTCGATCACAATAGAGACTATTACAGGGCAGGATTATATTGCATGTGTGTGTAAGCAAGCACATGTGCACATTATTCCCTTCTCAGACTTGTGTCTTTAGTAATACAAGAAATATGAGAGTGAGGGAATTCTTGTGTCTGTAAGCATCTAATGTGCACTCTAATCTCTCACTTTAAGTCTGATAGAATGGTTTTTAGTGAGTGGAAGACCAAACCAGGGTGGATGTTAATTTCTTGATATAAAATCGCAGTAATACTCAGTAATATGTACTAGAACAGACACCGCGAAATTTCAATGAAACACTGAAAATTCTATGCAGCAGTGCAAGAGAAAGAAACAGAAACAGCTAAGCCCGCTGGTTCTAACGAGTGTTGCAAACAACCAAGTTTCTTCTAGAATATAGTAGGATTTCAGGTTAATTGTTGATTTTCAGGTTCTGGTTGCACTATATTTAACGCTGCACCTTAGCCTAGCCCCGATCTATCGCATTTTATATCAGGCAAGGTATAATGTATTTCTCCGGCGATAACAACAAATCACCGCAACTTCAATTTGCAATATTAAGAAATATTAACAAACTTACAAAACTGTTCGTCAATGTTTTGTACAAATTGCGGAGACTAGTCTTCTTTAGTACAAGCATGCGAACATTAACGCATAAACAAATTCTACAAACTTCACTAAAAGCCATTCCTGTTTCCTAACTTTTTCATCAATAAACCGGAGTTTTCAAAAATATTAAAATGCAATACGACAGGCAGTTACTATCACAGACTTCTACAAACTACTACATACAGTATATTCCACAGAACACTAATAGTAATACCCTTAGGCGGGTATTTATACTTATAGGCGGGTATATTTATTCTTTTTGCTATGTACTACAAACTACAATACAACTTGAGCTTGCTTGACCAAAACAAAACAAAACAATTCTAAGTTTTTAAAAGGTAGGCTTGGGCAAAAAATATCGATATATCGAAATATCGATATTTTTTAAAATAAATATCGATATATATCGTCGATATTTTAAATCGCGATATATCGACATCATCATCATCATTACAGCCCTTCACAAATCCACTGCTGAACATAGGCCTCCCCCAAAGAATGCCACAAAGCACGGTCCTGAGCCTGCGTTTTGCCACAGCGGGCGGGGGCTCCACTCCTTCCGCGCCTACGGCTTTACAAAAACACTCTAGGGGTAGGACAAACACGACTACGTGAAGTCGGGGCGTTCTGATTTGGTTTTAGTACAGATTCGACCTATCTTATCTATATAGACGTGGTAGAGCCATGCTATAACTATATTAATAGTATAGTTGTAGCACGAATGGGTCGGCTCGACCGGGGAAGAAACCACGCTCTCACAAATCATCATCATCATTACAGCCCACTGCTGAACGTAGGCCTCCCCCAAAGAATGCCACAAAGCACGGTCCTGAGCCACCTGCATCCATCGACTTCCTGCATATCTTAGCAGGTCGTCACTACATCTAGTGGGGGGACGCCCTACACTTCGCCTGCCGGTACGAGGCTGCCACTCGAGAACCTTACTTCCCCATCGGTTGTCGGTTCTTCAAGCTATATGGCCGGCCCATTGCCACTTCAGCTTACTAATCCGTTGGGCTATGTCGGTCACTCTGGTTCTATTGCGGATATCCTCATTTCTGAGTTTATCACGCAGAGAAACTCCGAGCATAGCCCTCTCCATAGCTCGCTGAGCGACTCCTCATCCGGCCAGCAGTGAAGGACCACGTCTCAGTTCCGTATGTCATCACTGGCAACACGCACTGGATGTACAGTCTCGTTTTCAAGTTTTGAGGTATACCTGACGAGAAGGTGTGCGGTAATTTCCCGAACGCTGCCCAACCGAGTTGAATCCGTCGATTGACCTCTCGGTCGAAGTTGGACTTACCTAGTCGGACTATTTGTCCCAGGTAAACATACTCGTCAACAACTTCGAGCTTAGTGTTCCCAACAACTACCGGCATAGGTGTGACATGGACATTATATCGACATATCGATATTTATTTTAGAGTATCGAATTCGTATCAATTTCGATATATATTAAAATGTTGTATCGTTTTTTTCGTCGTCCAACCGTCAGTTAATAAAAATTTGGACCTTATCTTTACATCATTCCAATGATGACGATATATCGATATATTGATATTTATCACGCGATATACAGGGTCATTCTTAATTTACTGAAGACCTTTTGGGAATATATTGGTTACATCATTACAAACAATTTTAGTGAGATCACTCTTCAGAGAATATAATACATTTACGAAAAAACTACTTTTAAGGTTTTGTTGTCATGTCTGACTCCTTTTAAGTCTGTATTTTGTAGTACCTAAACAATGTCAGAATAAATCGTCAAATAAAATGCCTAAATAAGGCATTTTTACACTTGATACAGTATCAAACATTGTGTTGAAATCATTAAACATAATTAAATGAGCAAATGACATTAAAAAAAAAACACAAATATTAAAATTTATAATAAGTAGGAATGACCGCCGGGCCGGTCGACGCCCGCGCTCAGCTGATTGCGTTGCGAGTAGGGTTACCAGATGAAAAAATTAAAAGTCCGGAGAAGAGGCCTGATTTCCATTTAAAAATCCTGAGATTGTTTTACAGTTTGAGAAGAAAACCTTACTTAAAAAGGTATCTTCACATATTAAGTATGATAAAACTGTTTAAATACCTACTTGGATAAATAAGTTTTGATTTTAATTGTGGAATTATTACCAAAGGAAAATTATTTTTAGTTTGTTTAACTTTTTATTAAGAGATCTTTTAAAATGTAAGCTGTATTATATTGAAAGTTCTAAAAATCCTGAGATTTCATGAGATTTGCAAAATCCAGCCGCAATCCTGAGAAGAGTCTAAAAATCCTGAAATCTCAGGACAAATCCTGACATATGGTAACCCTAGTTGCGGGAGCCTACTAAACCATTCATCACCGTGCCTATTGCATCAGGGCGCCACTTTAAATGACTTTACATTAACTTTTCATATCATCATCATCATTACAGCCCTTCACAAGTCCACTGCTGAACATAGGCCTCCCCCAAAGAATGCCACAAAGCACGGTCCTGAGCCACCTGCATCCATCGACTTCCTGCATGTCTTACCAGGTCGTCACTCCATCTCGTGGGGGGACGCCCTACACTTCGCCTACCGGTACGAGGCTGCCACTCGAGAACCTTTCTTCCCCATCGGTTGTCGGTTCTTCGAGCTATATGGCCGGCCCACTGCCACTTCAGCTTACTAATCCGTTGGGCTATGTCGGTTATTCTGGTTCTACTGCGGATATCCTCATTCCTAAGTTTATCACGCAAAGAAACTCCGAGCATAGCCCTCTCCATAGCTCGCTGAGCGACCTTGAGCTTCCTCATACGGCCAGCAGTGAAGGACCACGTCTCAGTTCCGTAAGTCATCACTGGCAACACGCACTGGTTGTACAATTTCGTTTTAAGGTTTTGATGTATGTCTGACGAGAAGATGTGTCGTAGCTTCCCGAACGCTGCCCAGCCGTAACTTTTCATATACTTCTTTCATATACTTTAAGAATTAATAGACATTCTTTAATAGACATTTAGGTAGTTTTTTTACGAATACTGTTTGCTAGCAACTCTGCCTGCATCCAAGAGGCAACGCCTCAACGTCGCACATGTGGCGGCCCAAGGCCAAGCCAACGATATATTATAACGTCGACACAGGTGTCACCGTCATCAAAGGCGCCGCCTGCCCTTTTTGGTTTGCAGGCATCGATTTGGGGATCGATGTTTGCAGCACGTGCAAATTAAATGAGTATTATTAACTATTTTTTTATTTAATGTAAGTTGTATTTAAAAAATGGATGCAGGTTAAAATAATTACAAATATTACAATAAAATATTTATAATGATTAAATACAAATTAACAGTAATTGAATAAAGATATTAAGGTATAATGGTTCAATAAAAATATTAAAATACAAATTTAAAAATTAGACTTACCTAGGTACTTGTCCGCGGATGGCGGTGAGTATCGCGCACATAGCGTTCAAAATAATCACCTCCACATTCTATGCATAGGTGACACCTAAAACTTAACTGTTCACCGACACGAGATAATACTTGATGATTCATTTTGATTTGATCGAATGCCCAAATTATTTTTTCTTTCAACATGTCGCGGGTTTCGAATGCTCGACCAGTATACACTAATCTCTTTACATGCCCCCACAAATAAAAATCCATTGGTGTGATATCTGGCGATCTGGGAAGCCATGCACAAGGCCCGTTCGACCGACCCAGCGACCAGGGTATTCTCTGTTTAAATAATCCTTAACTTGGCGAGCATATTGTGCCGGCGCCCCGTCAAGTTGTAATACATATTGCGTAGAGATGCAAGTGGTATGTCCTCTAACAACTCTGGCAGCGTGTCGGTGAGAAAACTATGATAGCTTTCACCGTTTAATCTTTCTATGAAGACCGGGCCCAGTAATGTTGTATTAATGACGCCTGCCCACACATTGACACTAAACCGGTGTTGAAAGCTATGCGGTCTTGGTTCATGTGGATTTCCATAGCACCACAAGTGTTCATTGTGCGAATTAAATAGTCCTATTCTGCCAAATGTTGCTTCATCAGTCCATAAAATGTTGGCTCGTTCAGCGGCTAGTAACCAGTTACAAAATGTAACTCGCGCTGGTTTGTCAGCTTCGCTGAGTTCATGAACACGATGCAAGTGGAAAGGGTACTTCCCTTCATTGTGTATGACACTCCATGCGTAGTACTGTGACACATTGAACTGTCGGGCTGCCTCATAAGTGCTCGCTGCTGGATTTTGTTCATAAAACTGCAGTATGTCTTCCTGCTCACGTACTGTGCGCCGCGGTGAATGACCACGATCGATTGATACAGGCTGGAATTGCCCGTAATCTCGCAATCGCTGTGCAGTACCTAGCATCGTAGCGTAGCTCGGTGCACGTGAGTTGGGAAATCGCCTTGAATATTCACGGCAGGCTTCACTAACGTTATCATTGCAAATTGCTAAAATTCGCACCATTTCGGTATACTCAATATTTGAGTATCAGTATGCCATTGTAACAACGCGTAACGTTCGCAATATTAATCTCACAACGGAAGGAGAAAAGTCGCGGGCGCACAAAAGGCGATTGACCGACTGACGACACAGATAATTAGGTCAAGTTCAAATGAGCAAGCGCCACCTCCTACACCCCTCCACCCCTACCCCGCCACGCGCTTTATTTTGCTATTTAGGACTATTGCCGTTTAGAAGAGCCAATTAAAATATTTTTATTTTTGTATGAAAATAAAAATTGAAGAAATATAATTTCTTTTCTTACAGATGTTGTTGTTATGATGTAAATAATATATTCCCAAAAGGTCTTCTGTAAATTAAAAATTACCCTGTATATCGATACTGTTTAAAAATATAGATTCGATATATATCGATATATTTTTCCCTTTGCCCATCCCTATTAGAAGGTTCGCACATTAGGCTTGGGCAAAAAATATCGATATATCGAAATATCGTTATTTTATAATAAAAATATCGATATATATCGTCGATA